GGAATGAACGTCCATGGATTGCTTTTAGCGTCTGTGTTGTTCTTCGCATATTCCTGATTTTGCATCATCTGTTCACGGTAAATTCTCTTGCTCATTATTTTGGTTACCGGCCTTATGATTTTCGAATAAGACCGGCTGATCATCGTATTGTTAATTATATTTCATTTGGTGAAGGTATACATAATTATCATCATGTATTTCCATTTGATTATCGAATTAATGATCGACCACAATGGGAATTATTTAATCCGCCCATAAATTTCATACATCTTTGTTCACGAATTGGTTTGGCATATGATTTGAGAATTGCTTCACCCGAAGTAGTCAAAGAAACTGTTGCACGTAAAGGTGATCGAGCATTATATGATCCTATTCGTAGTTTAAAATTTCGTATTGTAAATGCCATATTCGATTGGATAATCGGAATAATAACAGCATTATGGATTATTTATCCGGCATTATTTTTTAAATTAGCCACACAACCTATTATCTATATTTGATTTCAATGAATAAAAATTTCAATTTGATTTTTAATATTCAACGCGATTGCATATAAAAAAGTTATTTTTCCGTTGTAATCGATGCAATCGATATTGATGATGATTTCCTAATAATAATTTCAAGTTTATTTGCACCAGGAATTGCACCATACAATTTGTATTTTTGTTGTTATAATGACTTACTTAGCCAATCAATTTAACTACAACCGTTGACTTGTCATCATATTTGGATTTGTTGTTGACTTGGTTCTTACACGAGAAAAATATAGATTTTTTTTTAATTTTCAAAATCTATTTACGTCATTTGATAAAGGATTAATTAATCAATGAATTTAACGATTTTTTTTTTGTTGACCAAAATGCAATGGCTTTTTTCTTTGGAAAGTTTTTTGATTAAAATGTTAATGAATAAACACAGTAAAAATCTCAAAAGATATAAAAAAAAGACATTTGAAAAATTGTGTAATTTGTCTTCTGGTTTTTTTTGTTTTGTTTTTTGAATAAATAAATGAATGAATGACTAATGAAAAGATGGTATATATAGCATGACTTTTTTTGTCTGATCGAATCATTTTGGTCAAAAAAAAATTTGTCCGATCAATCCGATAATAATTTAATATTTATCAACAAAATCATGAAAATTTTGAATCAAAATTTATCCGATGATTCTTTCAAATCATTTGATACGAAAAAATTGAAAACGAACGATAATGTTGATAATTTTCAATTTAATGTTGAACCATCAGCCTGGAAACGTCCATTAAAATGGTCAAATGTAATCATATTGTCCATTTTACATATTGCTGCTATTGTTTGTTATGTGGACGTTTCTATAACACTTTTTCATTTGAAAACTGTTGTGTTTTCAGTGCTTATTGGTGCCATGTCTGGTATTGCTACATCAGCCGGATCACATCGTTTATGGTCACATCGATCATATAAAGCACGGTGGCCATTGAAATTATGGTTTCTAATATTTCAGGCAATCACTATGAATGGAAGTGCTTTGACCTATGCTCGTGATCATCGAACACATCATAAATATTCGGATACCGAAGGTGATCCAAAGAATCCCACTCGCGGCCTGTTTTATTCACATATTGGTTGGTGGTTGGTGAAAAAAACCGATTCAGTCAAGCAAGCAGGTCGAAAACTTGATTTTTCTGATCTTTATGAAGACAAATTACTTTATTTTCAGCACAAATATTACATTCCCATTTTCATTGTGTTTGGTGTTATT